ACCCAGCAAGCTCGGCAAACAAGCTCAATGTGGAGGATCGCAGCAAGGCTCTCCTCGCCATGTGGGCCTGCCAGTCCCTTTTCAACATCACCTACGATACTGTCTACGCTTTCCAGGACATCAGAGATGACCTGAACGCAGGGGTGGGATCGCTGGCTATAGCCGTGCGCCACTACCCCAAGGTGTTCCTGCTGTCCATTGCGAGCGCCATGGCTGCCTTCTTGTGGGCGACCGTGACCTGTGGTGGTCTGATGCGCGGTCCGTTCATGGCTAGCGCCGCTGTGTCTTCCTTTGCTGCCTTTTTCATGTTGGCTCGGCTCGACGTCTGGAACCCAGCCAGATGTAAGGACTTTTTCGTCTACAGCCAGTGGTGGGTCAGTGGGGTCTTGGTGACTGGTCTGATCGGAGAGCTGGTGATGGCGAGGATGTGAGTATGCGATGGCTAGCTGCTTGCAGCTCCCGCAATGCGTTCAACACCCACATGAAGAAGTGCTCTCGAAACAGAGACTTCGCGAACATAACGAACTTACGAATCTGGTATTCGATGACATGAAGGATTTCTGGGCAGAATGTGGAAAGGATGAAATTTCATAACAGGATATGTGCTTTGAAGTGATCGATAGCTTCTGTATATAGAGAAGAATGTACTTTGATCCAAACGATCGAATTCAAGGGCTCAACGACTTCCATTGAATAGCGTGTGATAAGTGATGCGACTTATGGACCAAGCAGCAAAGTTCTGTCTATCACCGCCGTCCCTGGATACGCATCGCTCCAAGGTATACAACTGCAGTCAGTCACAGAGAGCGTGACGAATGGTCATTGTTGTTGATCGGGGAGGCCGCTGTGGGCGCTGAGTGCTGTATGGAGACGGAACAGAGTTAGCGCCTTGGCGTCGGAACGCGCGCCACGGGCCGTCAACGTGGCTGGCGTCTGGCAGGAACGTGGGAAGTACCCATCACTCCTTCCCAGCGCGACGGGCGTGACACGCGCGATCAAGGATGTACTCGAGAATGACGACACCTCCCACTATAGCGCCGTTCGGACCGCAAACATGCATCACCCAACGCATACCCTGGCCAACAAGGCCCTCGATCGGACCGCGTCGGACGCGACGAACCATTCGGCGGAATAGTGGTTACGGTGTGAGGATTGAGACAAATAATCATGACGTACTCGTTGGAAGTCTTGCCACTGGGCATTGGGAGAAGGGACGCGATCAACGATGCTTGAAGAACCTCTTGGTTTGAGCAACGACGTATGGGCGTCACAGTCTCTATCTAAAGCTCTGGAATCGGCACAGGTCCAGCGGGCGGCTTACCGCCAGGCAACCAACCTTGGTGCACTGTCCTGACACCCCAACTTGCCGGGTAATCGATCTTTGTGTGGAAGAGACCGTAGTTCTGGAAGAGAAGCAAGTCTTGCTCTTCCTCAGGTCCGACCCAGATGTGCTCAGGCTTGATCATCCGCCCTTGGAAGCTGTCCAAGAACTTCCTCACCTCGCCCAAGTCGTCGATGACCTTTGGCGTGTCGTTCGGGCCCTTGCGAATGAATAACCGGCGGGCGAGGTTGTGCTGGCATTGGAACGACTTCTTGCCAGTGACAGGGTTGACCCAGACAAGTGGGAGCTACAACAATGTTAGCATCAGATCGCTTGAGTCTGTTGTAAAAGCAGACATACCTTCTTCTGCCACTCCTTGCTTCCCTCCTCATGGGCCTCTACCTCCTCGTCTGGCAACTCCCTGCCCTCGCTCGCTACACCCAGACCATTCGGTGCACCGCGGCAGCCCTTGATCTTCTCGTATGGCCAGTACATGTACTCCACCCAGCTGTGGTCGACCATCTGCTTCTCCTCGTCGCTCAGCGACTCATACAGCTGCTCGACGTCTACAAACGCCGTGCGTCCTGGCTTGACTTCCATGCTCTGACCCGAGCCGTCGGCCCATTCCACCGTCTGTGTCGCCTTGCCTTCTGTAGGGAACTTGATGGGTCGGAGCATGGTGAAGGTCGGGGGATCGTATTTCCAGTAGGTGCCGTCCACGTGCCACCAGTGGAAGCGAGTCTTTCCCGCCTCGAAGTCTTCGTCCGCAAGCGGCTTGCAGTAGTATTGGTTGAAGTTGGTAGCGCCCATGTTTAGGCCTGGCTTGCCGTAGCGCGGGTCATCTTGGGGGCCTTTGCCGATGAAGACAAAGGCGCCCGCGTCAGGGACTTCGACATAGTTGATCGCGGCCTGAGCATTCATCAGCGCTCTGTCGTACTTTGCAGCGTCGGAAGTTCTGTCGCCGGACTTACCACTATACCATCCTTCGGGTAGAACGCGCGAGCGAAGGTGGTGTTATCTATCTTGCAAGAGTCCGGGTCGAGCTTTTGTAGCAGCTCCCAGCCACGCTTCGGTTCGAGGTCATGTTGGCCTTTGATGATGAGAAGCTTGTGCTCCCAGGTGGCTTTCTGCAGCTGTGCTACCGTCTCGTCCGTGAACTTGTTCAGGTCGAGACCAGTGACGACGGCTCCAAACTAAGAGGAATAATGTGAGCGACTGAAACCAAGAAGAGTGCTGATGCATGGATTCAACTCGTACCTTGCAAGTCTTTCCCGAAGGATGGACCAATGGCTCAATCTTGAAGTTGCTTGACATGGTGGTAATGGCGAACGATGTGTGTATGAGATGAGTATTGCGCGCACGATATCGCGACTGCAGTTGTACAATGACCAAAAGTATGGGGCGCTTGTTAGCTTACATACAAGCTGCATGTCACTGTGCAAAGCCCCATGTCTAGATCGCGAGAGTGTCGCGATTCGCGGACCAATTTGGCAAGTCGGAATCCGGGGTAAACCAAAATCCACCGAATATCGCAGCTCGCGCGCTGCGGGGGTTTGAGTAACGTCTCTTTACCCTCACGCCGTCGCCACGGGTTGAGATGGAATACGAGCTAACGCGCCGATGATCGAAATCGCAAGCAAGTATTGTTCATGGCCACTGCCCAGATGGCGTTTGCCGGCGTGCAGTTTCGGAAAGACGTTCCGGCTATCGGAACAGTTTTGGGGAGAGCTTATCGATACGGAGATGTCTTGGCGAAGAAGCACCGAAATTCTCATTAGGCATCCCGGCCTGACCAGGTCCACACCAAGGGGCGACATTGCATACAACCGTTCTCGTGCCAATGAGCACCAACCAAAAATCGCTAAAAGATACATTCACAACTTCTCATGCACCGCTGTTCGAGCCCCGACTACCTGAACGCCATCTCCCTGCATGCTGTACGGCACAAACATCTTCCGTTCCAGCCCAACTTCCTTCAAGATACGATCCCACTTAGCCAATGACCTCTCTTGTGCCCCATAATTGGCCATCATCAGCAAATCAAACGATGCGCCGTACCAGTGCGCGCCCTCATCCTGGATGACAAGCTCGTCCAGCAAGATGACTGAGTCAGGAGCAAGAGCGTCTTTGAGTTGAGAAAGGATGTTGTAGCAGGCCTGATCAGGCCAGTCATGCAGGATGTTGCGTAGGTAGTAGACGCACGCTCCCTTGACTGGCTGCGGCTGTGTGAAGTCATGGTGGACAACCTTCAGTCCCTCAATACTCTTTGCAGAATCGATGGCCGCCGCGTGCGTGTCCTGCAGCACAACACGTCCCTGCAGCTGGGGAAATCTCCTCAACACCTCCCTAGCCTGGTGCCCGTATCCGCCACCGACGTCCACGAAGAGAGTTCGGTGGTTATCTCCCGTAGTGGAGCCGTGCACGTACTTCTCGAGCGGAAACACGTCGAGCCAGCTCTTCTGCCCCACTCGCTGAAACGACATGTACTCGTTGAAGGCTTGTTGATGACGGGGTCGCTGCGATAGCCACTCAAAGAAGTGCAGGTCCGTGTTCTTCCCCAAGTTGAACGGAAGATGCTTGTTGTCCAGCGGTTGCTTGTAGCCATTGTCCGCCATCCACTTTGGTATCGCATTGTACGTTGCGATATTCCTCTCCGTTCTGCAAAGTAAATTAGTTACAAGCCTCAGAATCAAGGTCCAGTGGTACTCACACATGGAAGATCACGGATTCAAGCCCTGACATGGCTAGGTATCGCGTGATGTTTGTGGCCCGGTACGTCTCCACTCCGACTTGCTCCACCATCCACTGCGTTGCTGCATATCGTAGCACTCGCACTAGCAGTGCCTCCTCAGCGCCCAACTCGGCAGCCAATTGACTCACGCTCATCGCCGTACCCTGCCGCGCAGCAAGGAGTCTCCACAGCCCCAGATCGATGCCCACTTGCACCATGTTGGGTGGCAGTGCGCAAAAGATCAGACGCTGCATAGTGTCCCATGGTTGCTCGAGCTTGAGAGAGGCCATCCTGGCAGCTTCGAGAAATCGAAGTCGCTTTTCCTCGTCTTTGTAAAGAGAGGCGGGGATGTGGCCGGCGGCCAGAGTCTCGAGAGCATCAAGGATGTTGTCGGCTTCGACATTTTCGTCACAAGCTGCATCTGAAGGTTCAGACAGAAACGGAATGGCAGACATGGTCGTAAACTCTTCACTGATGAATTGGTGTAGAGGTCGTTGATGATGAGATACAAGACTCTGCGACCAGAAACTATGAAGTTATACGTACTTTGACAGCACAGACACATCTCGACATTGCCTGTGCTTCTTCGGTACATTGTGAATCATTGAGAGTCTTTCGTATCATCGGTGGCCGAGATCGTCGTACCGGGGGAGTGGTAACCTGGTTTAGTAGTGACGACTGTTTGAAGATCTGGACTCGAAAACACCGCGCTATCTGTTGTCGTTTGGCTGATAGTAACCCCCGAAAGAGAAAACAAACCGAGCCATCGACCTATCGAGGACTATCTTGTGTCTCGTCCACGAAAACCGTGAAGCAATCAGGGCTTATCGTCATGGCTATGCATACGTATTTAGGCAACCTGAACTTCACAATGAGCAAGAGTAGTGTACGTGCACGGGAGATAGCGTCACGTTGGACAGAACAGGGTGCAATAGTAGTGTTGACTTCATGGAAGATGGCACGAACGCCACGAAACGCAATCGCTTGATGAACTATCGACAACTAAAAGAGATCCCGTCATTGTAGCCTGCCCAGTCATAGGCCAATGACTCCTATACTCCCTGCGCCAGTCTTTACCCATTACATCTGTAGCTTTACAGTCTCCACCCTTTCCGCCACCTTTGTCGCAAACTCCCCCGCAACATCCGCACACAGTGCCAGAAGAGGATTCTTCACCGCCGCCGCCTCCCCATCGACTAGTAAACCCGACAATAAGGCATCCCTTAGGCGTTCCAGGACCCGCTGGGCCTCCAACACTCGCTTCACTAGTAGCACCCGCACTACGGCCCGCCGGTCGGCGCCCCTGATCGGCAGTGTTCCGCAGCGTAGCGGCTCGTGCTCCTCGTCTATCACTGAAGTCCCACCTGTTGTACTTGATGACGATAACGATGAAGACGGTGGTGAAGATGCGCCACTGTCGCAACTTGGTGAAGATGCCAGCGTCGGTGTCCAGAGGGAAGTGCCGCCCAGTTTGAGCGAAACAAGTGCTCGGTCGATAGCCTCACAGATGACGAGCGCAGTCGAAGGGCGCGTCGAACATGCGTTCGGGCACGCCATCGTGTTGCAACAGCAGGTTATGAGCATTCTCGAGGTGGAGAGCGCGGCTGAGGTGGAGGCGACGGGTGAGGAGGAGGGCGAATACGAGGATGTAGATAGGTGATCGAGAAGGGTGGGCACGCAGTTGCATGACTTAGGCGAAAGAGAGATGTCGTCTGAAGGTTGCGGGAATTGTGGATGTGTTTGCTGCTGTGGAGGGACCACGTAGCCGCAGTTATCGAAGCCTTTGCTACTTGTGGTCGGCATTGGCGTGCTCGCATATTGCTGATCCGGATGATAGCATGGCTGATGACCGTCTGGGGTCAGCAAACCAAAGTACGGTAGCCCTTCGGCAAGAAGCATGGTCGAAGGATCGGACTGGTGCTGTTCATGCTCTCGTTGCTGCTGCTCCCATGGCGCTCCACAGAACCCCATGTCGAGAAGCTCGGGAGCAATGTGGAAATCGGGAGACATTGGGTAATAGCAATTGGCTGTTTGCTTGGGTGTGCCACATTGCGAACCGATGAAATCTGGCAGACCTTGCAGGAAATCGTCGTCTGAATGTCGATATGGCGAGAATTCCATCCGATCGGGGCTCGATAAGTCCGTACATTGCGCCATGCCGGGAATGGTGGATGCGCTGGAGTCGGAGCTGGAACTGGAGCTGGAGCAGTTCTCTGAGGTGGATGCCAGGCTGAATGGAGCAAATGGCGACACCTCACCTGAGGTCGGAATGGTAATGCCGGTCTCCGTCATGGGCGTCAGATACCCTTTCTGGCTCGTAGTTGCGCTGGTAGTGATGCTGGTGGAGCTCTTGCTGTTGTTGCGAGTGCGCGGTCGCCCAGCTCGTCGCGCCGGGCTATAGACGCACTCTATGCCTTTCTTCGCACATCTGCGACATTTCGGCCGCTCTTGATCACATCGGATCTTGGAGTGTTGACAGCTATCACAGGCAAGGCGGTACTTGGTGGGTTTTGGCGCTGGCGCGCTGCTCTTGGCGCTGGAATCGTTGTCTTGCATACTTTATTCAACGTTGACGCTTGTTTCGGTAGCCAGAAGGCGATAGCGATGTTGCGATACATATACCGGCCATACTATCAGACCAGAGTATCCTGGGTGGGGCCGCTAAGAGCTGTTGATCTGGAGGGACTTCGGATCGGTTTCAGCTGATAACACGTACGCGCTGAGACTACCTCGAACTGCCTTGGTACTGTGATGGTATGCAAAAGCTTTGGGTGTGTGGATACACCTTTCAGGTAAGATCTCGCGATCTGGGGTGACTTCGGATAGACCCTAAGCGTTACTACCTTACGTGAACTAAGCATCCCAATCGGCTTAGCTGCAACAGACCCTTGCCAGTGGCCCACATCCGACATACACTCCAGGGCTCACCTGCTTCTTTACATAGTAAGTAAGACGGGCTCTCACTTCCGGCTTATACATAGGCCTTTTGGGTCGTACCATAGTACTGGTATTGTAAGAACATGGCGAGAGCTGATCGTGGTTACACTAAAGCACGGCTCGGAACGATGCATGTCATACATGTCAGCACGAAAAACGGTGTAGCCTCCAACGTCCTCGGGATATGTGTCATTTGCGTCCAAATCAATGCATATCATATGCCTGGGATATGGTATGGCTCGAGGCGATGCATGCAACAGTGTCGCTCGGCTCATCACCGGAGGTGCAGCATGCATCCAGATCGGGTACCGATTCTCCACTACCCTGGCGCCTTTGTTGACGACCAAAAGACTGCTGCGGAGTTCAACAGAGCAACGTCGTCGTATGAAAAGTCATCATACATCCCACGTTACCTAACACTATCGAAATTGACGCACTCTCAAGGCCCGTACCGCTAGATTGCGCTCGTGCTTCGTTCCTTCAACTTGGCAGCACCGCGTGGAGACTTGCGAACGGGGAAGGTGTTCTGAGAAGGGCCTTGTTCGGTTGCATCAAGAGCTTCTCAGAGATAAGATATACAATAGCCAAAGCCTCATAGAGTTCGGGCCGAAGTTTCGGTACGTTGAGCCAATTGGGTGCACGAGCAGGCTCTCGTGGAGACTGGCGGGCGAAGGGGACATATACAAAGGGCCGTTTTCGGCTGCACCCACAGCCTCGTCGTTCATACCAGCGCATACACACAGGGGCCCGATGTTTGACTCGCATGTTCAGGGTACGTGAACCTGCTTTGGATGCTGATGATTTTCCGAGGACCCGCTCGTTGCGTGGGTAGTGGAGACTTGTTGTTTTAAGAGGCGAAGGCGCCCTGATCAACCCATTCGAAACGGACCGGTTCAACTCTTCTCGCACCTTCGATCGCAGGGCTTCAGACTGTTGGTCTTCTTGACTTAATCACGTGAAGTATTTGTCAAGGAAAGGATATTCGGGATGTGGATGGAGACATCGGCTATCACCACGACAGTAAGATTTGGCGTCTTACTCAGTGAACGAGAACAGCCGACTCGAATTGACTACGGTTTGTGTATTTGCTATGTTGCTTCACTTTCCGGATGACCTTGAAGGTAATGCACATAGAAGACGTTTATGCTGACCCTTGATCTGGCTGGCCCTCACTTCATACTTAGGCCGCTGTCGTAAAGATCGGACTCATGTAAACCGCGAAGTACTCACACCTTCTGCAATTCCATTCACAACACAAGTAGATGCTTGCCAAATATAGAATGGGTGAACACAAGAGTAGTTAAAGGCTTGAAATACAAGTACTGTTCAGCCCAAGAATGGTTTTACCGCCTCAAGAGCTTGCTTGAAGTTGGAAACCTCATCGGGCGATATACCCAACTGCTCCTTAGTAATGAAAAGACCCTGTTCCTTAACATGCCCAAACCAGTCCGTCACTGCTTCACCAAATACAACACCTGTGACAGCCTCTTCTCCGGCCAGACCAAACAAACTACCGATAACTTCTGGCTTACACTCCACGTATACGCCTTTCTTGCCTGAGACCTCTTCCCACTGCGAGAGCGCCTCTCCAAGGGACAGAACCTCGGTGCAGACACCGGCGTATTTACCATGCGTCAACCTGGGGTTCGCCAAGATTTGGCGCGCCCAAACACCTGGGTCTTTGGCCATGTCACCGGCCATGGGGTAAACGGTGGATGGAGTCGACGGGACCATCCAAACGTATTTCCCCGGCGCACTGGCCTAACGGACATTTGTTAGTCATGTTAACAAGCCGTGTGTTAAAGATAGTCACTTACCACTGGCTGTGGCTTCAACATGGGGAAGAAAGCAAAATTTGACGGATAGAAGCCAAACATGAGAAAGGTGGTCTTAGCCGCCAGCTCTGGCATGTTCTTCCGGATGTGATCGTCGACCTTGGCTTTGTAGTCGAAGTGAGGGACAGGGAATTTGCCTTTGGTGATTTCGTCCGCCGCAGGAAGTGTGCTCCAAATGTAATGCTCCAATGTCTTTACTTCAGCAGCCAATCTCGCGAGCATGATGCCATCGCGCTTCTCGATCTCACCGGCCTCAGACTGACTGGCGCCTTTGAAGAAAGGTTCCCACCACTGAGTCACGGCGAAGATGGCTTGCGCGCCCTTCCTCCATGTCAGTTCTTGGTCAAGACATCAGCGAAGACAATGAAGACTCACTGTGAAGGCTTTCCTAATAGACTCTTCATCGTCATAACTTCCTTGAACGACCTCCATGCCCTCCGCAGCAAGCTTCTGGGCCTTCTCTCCGCTCGGATTCCTGGTCACTGCGCGGATCTGCCAGTCACCAGACTTGAGCAACCCGCGAGCGATGGAACCACCTTGGTTGCCAGTCGCACCGGTGATAACAGCGAGTTTCTTTGCCATAGCTGCTAAGTGATGTTGTATTCTCTGGAATGTGGCTGGAAAGGAGAAAGAAAGAGGTTATGGAGCTTAATCCCGTGCAAAGTCTGTACGTTCCAGGATAAAACCTTCAAGTTGCACGGAGAGTATATGCCTATGGACAGAAACGACACCTCTTGAACGCACGCGAACTGCCGAAAACACAAGATCCGGCTTCAGCATACTATGCCATTCTCGGTGTTTGAGAAGGCCGGCCGAAGTAGTGTAGTGCCATCTTTGATCGATTCGATCCAGCGATTGAGCCTTCGGTGAGTAACGAAAAACATTGGCATGGTACGCGATCGCAACTGCCGGTGGTGGACTATCGGGTGTGTACTCGCTGTTCAGGTACTCAAAATATCCCGCAGTGGGCTCGGCCCGAAGTTCCACAAATGCTCCGAGCCACGACACGCAACCGACCACTGTGGGTCTTCGTGCATCACCGATGAGGCTCGCTCTCCCATGCTGTCCGCACGTGGATTGTAGACTAGAAATACTGTACTCTCGGTATTTCCCAGATTGCGAGTACAAAGTTAAGCCTACCTAGGTAAAGCAGCACCCTGGGTGAAGTATGCATGGATATAAGGCAGAAACGATGACGTCTTCAAGTTAGCTGTGTGAGTTGATATGTTAGTGATCGTGGTTCATAGCTCGTACCACATCGAACATATGCCCCGGCTACCACAGTAGAGTAAGCAAAATGCGCCGACTTTTCGGTCTCTTCGGTTATCCGAGTCCAGATGGGGTCCCATGGCATCTATTATTACAGTAGCTAGACTGCTTTCATAGAATCAATCGTCGTTTGCTTCTCATTATCCTCTGTTTTCATTCAGTAGATACCTCATCAGTCACAATGTCGAGAACCGCCAGTACCTTGCTTTGCCGCGCTGCGCCAGCGCTCCGTCTCGCCGCACTGCAACCAGCTCGTTCACCATGCCTGCGCCGAGGATATGCTCAAGAGACACCGTTCCCGAAGCCACAGAAACTGAAGGGCGTCCTCAAGCCTTTGAAGCAATTCTTAGTTACGCCTACAGTGGGCACCGAGTTCCCAGAGGCGAATCTCGTTCAGATGCTGAACGCACCCAACTCGGATGAGCTTCTCAGAGACCTCGCCATCACGAGTAAGCGCGCAAACCGCTACCTTCGAGAAGACAGAGCTGACGAATGTGTTCTCTCTAGTCGCGCGACGTGGAGTCGTCTTCTTCCGCAACCAGAACGACATGACCAACGATCTCCAGAAGCAGCTCATCCAACGTATGGGTGAGCTAGTGGGAAAGCCGAAGGAGTCGAC